AACCCTCCCCCCCCCCCCCCCCTTCGTCTCAAAACGTGTTGACGGGACATTGGTCAAGTTGAGAAAACAGAGAACATTCCACCGTTGTGTGGCCTACCTCTGTGCGATCTACCTCCTGTTTGACCCCGGCTGATTCGCCCAGAAAACATTCCGAAACATCTAAAGACTGACGCCCACAATAACTGGGGACGATACCCTGCCCCCCATCCCTGCACAAACGAACAACCTCGTTGCGATGCGAGAAGACGAGAAGCGCTTACGGCCGGTTCTGGTTCCGGTTCATGAACGGGGAGTCCTGCTCCGACGTGTACGACCGGGCGACCGCGTTTTGGGAGAGCGTGTTCCGCTCCATGGACCACAGCCCCGGGACGCGCTTCCAGAACTACGTCATTATCACGCATGGGCTCATGATGGTGAGTATTATTGGGGTTGTTGGGGTTGGTGGTGGTGGTGGTGGTGGTGTTTTCATCGTCGCGATCGGAAGTATACCGTAGGCGACGAAAGAAATCAAACCTCCCTGACCGATTTCCAAAGCCGGGCTACTCCACGACGAGCAGGATGTACAAGTCAAAAGGTAAGTTCTTAAAAAGACGCGACTTGTACACGGTTTGGACGCCGCCATGTTCGGCATCGCCACTCTGTCTGCTGTGAGGCACTCGAGCTTTGAAAGTCGATCCAGGGTGTGTGATGTCGTATGCCACCTGCCGCCGTAGCTTTGAGCTTCGTTGATAGCATTAGTCCGCCTCGAGAATCGAGCCCGTTCCCGCATAGCTTCTAGAAGCCTCGCCAGAATTTTCCGAATAGTGAAAATAAGACAACGTAAATCACGCCGCTTACGTACCGGCCGATGCCGCCGGGCGGCTTTTGGTCATGATTCCACAAAAAAAAACTGGCAACGACGGAACCTCCCGAGAGCGGTCGAGAGGAGGGGGTTATGTGCCCTGCATGGATGTCTGCAGGTGGTGGGGTGTTGGGATGGAGTCAGCTGAAACGTACCATAGCATGCTGACGAAACCTTGCGCACAAAGGGAAAAATAATCGTGTTCATTTTTGGATCTCAAAACTCAAGGTAGAACCGAACCACAAAAATAGCTTATTCCTGCGGACAAACCGCGAATTCTTGTGCATGAGCTTAGGCAATGGTACCTCTCTTGCGACCCGACAAAAACAACCGCACCTAATCCTGTACCCACTCTACAGCTCATCAACTAAAAAAAAACAGCTCATCAACTAGGGTGTGTGGTGTGTGGACCATCATTATTTTGCACAACCCCCCGGGGGGGGGCTTCCCCCCGGGGTAGCGTTGGAAAAAAAAAACTAACCCCCCGCGGTACGTCAATTTCCCCCCGGGGGGGTTGGTTTCAGAAAAAAAAACGATCCCCTCCCCGGGGGGGAAACTCCGTAGTTTACGGTATGTGAGACAACGTGAATATTCGATCTGTGTCACGCCGCGTCATCGGCTATATATATTCAGGGCGACCAGCCTTGTTTGTGCGGCGTTTTGCAGGGGCCCCAGCTGCTGCAGTGATGAAACTCACATATGTGGCTCTAGTTAATCTGACCTCTCCTCCGGTCACCCGTCCCACCTCGCTACCACCGTCTGCACCGCCGCTACCACCTCCTCTTGCCTGCGCGGGACACGTGGTATGTCCTCGCGAACTGGCTATTGCGGATGTCGACCCGCAACTGGATGATCCCGATAACATTCGACCTGTTAAAATAAAAAAAACAGCGGCTAATCTTGATGAGGTATTTCCAGTGGAAGGTGGAGTTCTTCGAACGAGTGTGGAATCCCAGCAACTGCGAGACCTGGATAATGGAGAGAGATGAGAGAGGAAGCTATCGGGTGAGCACGTGTTTGGTATCTTGCAGCTTTAGGTTGCGTGCCCTCGGAGAAGCGAGCCGGCCTAGAGATTATTCGTCCTGTGCGGTGCCTAAAAAATGTTGTTTTTATTTTCCTCGCAGATTTTTTTTCCCGGAGTGGGTCATGACACAGATGGGCGTGTGGGGCAATTTTGTAGTGCAACCACGGTGCTCTCCCGTGGGCCATTTCGCATCTTGCGTGCTGCTGCGGAAGGGGTTGCTGCGTTCTTTCTGCCTTTGTTTCCCCGCACTAGTGCTGGATAGATGCGTTACGGATTGTGCTGCAGACGGTTCTGTTGCAGATCTATTATAGCTTGGTGGCACACCCCTCGCTTCACGTGTTGTTGTATGCACATTGTAAAGGACATGACGTAATATACCACACACCCTGGACCGATTTTTTTATATCTCGATTAATCCACGACGAAGAGGAGATGGCACAATCAAACGATATGCGGACATGGCCGGCATGGCGTTGTCTCGTAGTCGGTGTTCGAGACCGAGGTTGGCCTCAGCTGCTGCTGCTGCTGCTGCTGCTTGCGCTTCCTCGATGCACGCGGCATGTCGCTTGGCCAACTGCAGCTCCTGCTGCTGTAGTTGCCCGAGGCGCGATCGGCGACACGGGAGTTTCTTAGCGGCGGTGGCTTTCAACGCCTCAGTGGGGCGACGTGTCCTCTCCTGGACCTATTCTTCTTCTTCGAATTCACGCGCTTGTAGTACTAAAGTTGCAGTTGAACCATGTGCGGCATGCGCGTCCCCTGCGGACCGGCCCCGTTCCGCTTTGAACAGACAGACTGGCCCCGCTAACAATAAGAAGGCGGCGTTCTTCTGGTTCTTTCCGCCCTTGCTTGTTTGAGCGATTCGGTATTTGTTGTACTCGGGTTCACTGATTGTTTTCACCTAGTTCTTGCCCTCACGCACCTGGACTCTCACGCCGTTCCGATTTCTCTTCACAGGTTTTGTTTTCCACTTTTGTTCGTTTCAACTTTTTTTGTGGGATAAAAGGTCAGTTTTACCAATTTTGACAGCACAAAGCCGATTCAACATGTACACACGTCTTGTGGTGATCCCCTGGTGTTGACTTGACTAGTGTACAAGCCTGGCAAACACTACACGACTCAGCACGATGCGACTCAATCCGATGCATTTTTTTTACCTCAGTTGGTGACGGAGATTCTGGACAGGCCGCCAGCCGTAACGACCATGATCGGAGAGTCGGTCGAGCGAAAAGAGGATACTGCTTCTTCCTGCGTGGCCGGAGCGAAGGCGGCGGTGGCTCTAGATGGCGGGGGCAGCGGCGCGGAAGGGCAAGGGACGGTAGGGGCAGATGAGAGGGAGGGTGGCGAAGCGGCAGCGACGAATGGGGCGGAGCAGCACCAGCACCAGCACCAGCAGGAAGAGGCAATTTTTCCGTCGTCGTCTTCACAAGAGGAACAACTTTTGCCGGGAATCACGATCACGGTCGCCAACGACCAAACAGCCGTAGGCGGC